AAGTTTTTGGAAGTGCTATTTTCACATTTAGCGTCCAAAACTGCATATGAAAATGATGCTTGATCGAAGCTGAAGTCAAAGGCCTCTCCAATATGGATGTATATATTTCAAGACGTTTCGCTAATTTTATTTTTTGGTGAAGATCTCAGTAGTTTTTTGACCGACTCAAAATAGTCGGATAGTATAAAAGCGTATGTACGATCAAGCATCATTTTCATATGCAGTTTTGGACGCTAAATGTGAAAAAAGCACTTCCAAAAACTTAGAGAAACAAAAAAGAAAAAAAATTGAATGTTTTTGAAACTGAAGGAATTTTCGAAATTTTAGATCCTTCAAGTATTTTCCATTTTTTGACATAAAATACTTTATCAAACATTAAAACACGTATTTTCTTTTCCAGATCGACGAGCTCTACCCAAGCATGTTTGGAAAATGCAAAAATAAAAACCTTCTGAATTCTTGAATTTCCGGCACAGGTCTTGGTAGTCCAGAATATTGATTTACTAGAAAGACGACTACCACAATGAAGCTGTCAATACATTGAATGGTAAATGTGCATGAATCCAGTGATGGAATACGATTTTAAATGTCTGGTAGTTTCTTTAGGGCACACTTGAAACCGTTGAATCCAGTGCAGACAGCATCTAACTCTTTGGATCATTTATGGTAATTTTACATCCGCTAGTGCATGAGAGTCTCGAAGGAAAGATTGTTTATCGAAACGAAGACAGCTAGTCAATCTCAAATACCTCGAGAAAAAGACGACTCTATTCAAATGCGCACTGACCATTTCCTTGCAGGACACAATGGCTTAATGGCATACAATTCGCACCAAATTCTAAAACTTTTACGCAAGTTGAATCGTACATTGTAGGAACTTTCAACGATTAAAATGTCCTGGTTAATAACGTTAATTGCAGTCGTGCACTAGCACAATTTTGTGTAAAATTAGACTAACATTTGAACATATAACCGTTAGTACTTTTGTTGTTACAATTATCTGTTTTTATCGTCAACTTTTCTTTCGTATGTCATTCATCACTTTGGTTCCACATCTGGTTGGTGTTGCAAAAGACTTTTTTGATTTTCACTTTTTGCCATGATCTGTCATTCATTTCTTTTCTTTTTTGATGAATAAATTGACTTTGCTCAAACAGTATATATAACACGATGATGTGCTTTTAAAATCCTAAAGCTAAGAGGATAATTAAGACTGCTAATGCAATTAATGCAAATAAGCTAGAACAAATGTACGCTGTAAAAACACTGATAGTCAAACACACTATCGAATCATATAGCTTGATTCATAAAACGTAAAACCAACTGTAGAGAGACAAAAGTGTATATATTGGTAAATATTAGACTGATGACGGTTGAAATTCTAACGACAATTAAAGTTTAATCATATCGGAAAGTTCTCATGTTTTGATATAAGATTGTAAGACAGCTCGTATCTTCTTTAAAAGACTTTTCCACGATCAACTAGAATAGATTAATTGAAGTTATTAGATGAAACCAGCATTACAAATAGTACTAGTTAAATAGAATTATCTCGTAATCTAAAAATCAACTGTATAAATTTCAGTTATAGAACGAACAAATTTTACTTTAGCAGGTTATACCTGCACTCCGATTAGGATGACATAATCAAAATAGATGAACAGACGTCTTATAATTTTTAATTGGAAAGAAAAAACGGTTTCTACGCATGGTATGCAGCATTTTTTAACGAATCGAAAACTTCGAAATGTGTTTTTTTATTTCTTCTTTGATCACTGTTGAATAATAGTGTGTTCGCTGGAGACTTTAAGTCGAAAAATGTCGTCATCTGGTAACTAGTTACATTTACAGTCTAAATATACGTGTTTAGTGGATCTGACGCGTGTGTACTAAGTCTATTAACTTTGAATAAGATCACAGTTTTCCAATAAAATAATCTTGGGCAACATCTGAGGTTTTTCAATCATTATTTGACCCTCCAAAATGCTGAATATTAATATATAATTTGTAATTACTTCGGTTTCTACTCGATCGGTGACGCGTTCTTTGATCTTACGTAAAATTATATTGCCCTAAGCAACATATTGAGTATCAACTTTACTACATTAAAAATCGGAAGCAATTGTCAAATACGTTCAGATTTTATTATAACAGTTTGATATTGTTATTTGCATAAAAGCAATATCAATCTCTTATGATTAACTTAATGAGAGTGTCAGGTAGGCATACAAACAGATCGATAACTTAGTTTCAACAGAAATCATTCCCACTCACTAGACTAACACGAAATTCACGTTTTTAGTGTGATAATCTACAAATCACATTGTCTATTTAGGAGACAAAATCAGGTTGTTCAATTGATGGAGTGAAAGAAGCAAAGTGGTTTAAATTATCGCCGAAAGGAAGAATTCTATCTTGTCATTTCTCTTTCTCGACAAAAATTGAGAATATCAACAATCACGTTCATATAACCGACATAATATCTGTAAAAGTTATTAGAAAAAAAATTGTTATTGTTTTAGAAACAAGAAGAAATTCAGTATTATGTTTTGTTATTTTGAAAAGAATAACAATTAACGCATACCTAACAAAAAAACTTTTTTCCTGTTAGAATTGCTTGCTTGCCTATCTTTGTCCTTCGGTCATATTAGTATTTATTTCTCATATGCATGAAAAAAGACAAGATCGAAGTCTTAAAAGGTCCCATCAAAATATTTTATCTATTTGTGTTAAACAATAGTAATTCACGCAAAAAAAATTCTAATATTTTTTCACATCAAATGGATAATCTCTCTTTCTCTCATTTTTCTTCTTCTTCTTCTCTTTTCTCCTACTCTATCATCGCCTACAGCCTTTTGTAACAAATGAAAGATTTCTTTCTTGGCAAATTTCCATTTGAATCAAATAGCTTTAGACAAAGTATAATGAGATCTTAGAAGACCATTTTATGATCTTTTTTTAAACCGTGATTCTATACTCATATTATATATGTTAAACTTTGCTATTTAGTATCAAGAGAGGAAGAGAAAGCAAAATCAAATGAGTTTATTTATTGAAAAAAGAAAAGAAAACCCTAAGAGGCGAAAATCAGTCTCTATCAATTCATACATCTTAATACGTAACAGAATCGGAGTGTCATGAACAAAAGAGTAAAACTAACAACAACAACAATCATAAGCAGTTTGCTTCTTTAATTGAAACATACATTGTCGGACGATGGATACCATTAAAGCTGCTATTAATCTAAAAAATAGTAATTTAACAGAGAATGATAATGGTTTAATGTCCGGTTTATTACCCTTACATGCTCAGGTAAAACTCATGAAGATTAGACTAAGTATCTTTTTCTCTAATACTAACTGAAAGAAAAATGATTATAATTCTTATAGTTTCAAACTTAATATACAGAACTGATAGTAGCAAAGAATTAAGATTTTACTAAACTTTTTATCACTTAATATATTTTATTTATATTTGAAATATATCTTTTCTATTTTTTTCAGTTAATCTTCTTATCATTATTTGCCTTGGTAGTTGTCTTAGCCGTCGTTGGTAATTCCATTGTTATCTGGATTGTTCTTGCTCATCGTCGGATGCGAACTGCCACTAATTATTTCCTTGTCAATTTGGCTTATGCCGACCTTTTAAATGCTCTATTTAATATCATGTTCAATGCCTATTATATGGTAAATCAAATAACATGGCCATTTGGGAACTTTATGTGTATTGCTGTACAAACTGTTTCACATGTATCAATTGCAGCAAATGTACTCACATATGTGGCAATTAGTTTAGACAGATATTTCGCCATCATTCATCCGCTCCGGACGAAATTAACACACAACCAAACAATCACCATTATTGTTGTTATATGGATGTTAGCCTTACTTGTTAGTTCACCAGCAACATGGTCATTTAGAGTTAGAGAAAGTTATTGTAGAGTACTCGATATACAACCTCATCGAAAGTAAGTGATTCTTTTTAAGAATTAATTTTTTATTTACAATTTTTATTTTCATATTTAGATTTGAATGGTTATTTTTTGTTGTGACTTATATAGCGCCAATTGCTGTACTCACCGTGACTTATACACGAATTGCATTTGAACTCTGGGGACAAACAGGTTTGTTTATTCTTAGAATAATAGAATGGATATTCATTGAATCTTGTTTTGAAAACAGCCATAGGCGAAGTAACGAAACGTCAACGGGACAGTATTAAATCTAAACGAAAAGTTGTTAAAATGTTGATTGCTGTCGTGTTAATTTTTACCATTTGTTGGTTAGTATCCAAAGTAAAAAGAAGAGAAGAATACTACAATATTTTTCATAACTCTAGGTTTCCTCAACAACTTTACTTTATACTTGCTTCAACTTACAAGAAGATACCCGATTGGAAATATACGCCATATGTTTATTTAATCGTAAGTTTGATTAATTATTGAAAAGAATTTTATTTATTCGATTGTAAATAATTATCTTTAGTCTTATTGGATGGCAATGACTAATTCAATGTACAATCCATTTATTTATTGTTGGATGAACAACAGGTACGCATGTATATCTTTTTAATATATATTCTAAAAAATGAGAGTTAGAATAAATAAATAAATGATTACATACATTGTTTTTAATTTAATAATTTTTTTCTGCTAACAATGTATCATTTTCTAGATTCAGAGACGGATTTCGCTATGTATTTCGTTGTTGCCCATGTGTAAATTCGAGTGCTGAATTTTCCAGTATGCAACTTGTATCATGTCGAAGTGTTTCAGAACCAACAGCTTTAAGTATAATATCAACAACTCATCGTAAAAGTAAATCAAATCCATGTGAAAAATCACGTAAGGTGTCTTGAAAGTAGTATTTTTTATATCTATACTTATTT